CAACTCCCAGAATTCCCCAGCCAGCCATGCTGGCTGGGGAATTTTGGGAGTTGAAGTCCACGTATCTTAAAGTTGCCAAGGTTGAGAAACACTGGTATAAATCAATCAATCAATCAATCACAAAATATGACAGTGTGTACAATGATCATTCCTCTTCATTTCTCTCTCTCACGTCCATCCTGAAAGAGAACTGTTGTGGACTGGATTTGCGGCTCACCCAAACCTCGTTTTTGGTAGTGTAAGGTGAAGCTATCCTTGTGGTTTTTATCCAAGTAAGTTAGGACTTAGTGTGATGTGCAAAGCGAATCACTGACTGCTGGATTTGGGGACCTGCTAGTTAAAGTTTACAAGTACAAGAAAGTTGTTAAGGTTGAATTGTATACAAAGCTTTGAAATCTATTTACTGTATCTGGAATTATCATTGTATTGAGCATAGGGGGTGGCTAAAAGAATTATATTAAGAAATTGGAAAAGTCACATTATTCCAGACACCTGCCAAGGAATGGTTGTGGGAAACACGACCTTTCTGTTTTGGAAAAGGCAGTATTTTCTACTAATCAAAGGATGCAGCAATATGTGTTGTTCGGGCAGAAATTTTGCGGTATCTTACAATAGTATCTTGTATTGTTCACATTACATTAGTGAATTCATTGGTAAACCAGGGACTATCGATAAGTATAAAATATAAGATGGAGTTTTATTCTTTATCTTTTTCCTTCCTGGTTTGTATTTTTAGTTTGCACTTTCCATTTTTAAGTCCTTTTTTCCTTTGAAATTAAAGATTGTTTTGTTAAAAAAAAGAGATAAACGATATAAAAAAGGTTTACAAGTTTAAGAAGAAAACAAGTGGACAAAGCAAGACAAAACAGAGGAAAGTAGGTAAAAATAAAGTAAGGATAGAAGACTTCCTAGGGATATCATTCCCAGATTAAGACAGACGGAGCCTCTGTATAGCAGCAGCTGTTGACAAAAACTTGCCACGAAAAGATAATTTACTTACTATTTATTTAAATATCCGCCCATCTTAAAACAACTCGGGGCGGCTTACAATCCATAAAAACAGTATAAAAACATATAAAGCCATATAAAACAACGTAAAAACAGTGGGTAAAACAATATAAAAACCATCAGCAATAAAAGCAAAAACAGGAAAACCCGGCGCCGCAGGTGTTAATAACATCCGTCCTCGAAACGGACTTTTTTTAGAAACGCCACCCTTGGCCAGGAGGGGGCGCCGCGCCTCCCCCGGCTTTCTCGCGGCGCTTCTCTTCGGAGCGCTGCGGCCCGAAGC